CCTGCAGGGTCATGGGCAACGAAGGCGGGAACTTCTCGACTACTTTGCTCGGGGCGGCCTTCGCCTTCGCTCTTGCAGCCGCGGCTGCCTCGCTGCTGGGGCCGCTGTCCTCTTCGGAGCCGCTGTCGGAGCCGCTGTTGAGCTGTTGAAGCCGCTGTCCTCTTCGGGGCCCGCTGCGTCGGCAACTCCGTCGGCGCCGTCGGCGTCGGACCCTGCGTCAGCATCGGCGTCCGAGCTGTTGCAGCTGCCACGGCTTGGCGAAGCTGCCGTCGACGAGGCCGCCGAGGCCGCGCGGCTCGACGGGGCCGCTCTCGACGAGGCCGCACGGCTCGAGGATGCCGCTCTCGAAGAAACCGCCGCGGCCGCTGTCGAAGAAGCCGCCGAGGGCGCTCTCGAAGAAGCAGGGCTCGGGGAAACCAAAAGAGAGGACGAGGCCGCAGGGCTCGGGGAGGCCGCAGGGCTCTGGGAAATCGAAGGAGGGCTCGGGGAAACCGCAGGAGCGGACGACGACATTACCTTGAGCCAAGTCCTACGGACCAAAAAGGTGACGATGGTGATGGTGATGGCGATGCTGATGGTATGGATGGTGATGATGATAATGATGATGATGGGGATGGTGATGATGGTATGGTGAGGGCGGTTGTGATGGTGATGATGGTGATGGTGATGATGGTGATTCTGGGTGTGATGAGCACCACCATCATCACCATCACCATCGCCACCACCATCAGCACTACGATTTGATAGCCACCATCATTACATCGTCGTCGGCATCAAAACACAAAAACACTCAACCAACTCAACCTAAACCCGCCCTAAAGACAGCCAGTTCTTACGACCGTGACGTAAGTGCCAAATGGCACTTGGCAAAGACACCGGCGCCGACGACGACAGCGACAGCGACGACGACGACGACGCCGCCGACAACGACTACGACGATACCGACGACGTCTCCAACGACTTCAACGACGACCCCGACGATAACGACGACGACGACGACGACACAGACAACGACGACGACGCCGCCGATAACGACGACGCCGACGACGACGCCGACGATGACGACGCCGACGACGCCGACGCCGACGACGACGACGACGAAAACGACAACGACGACGACGACGACGACGTCGCCAACGAAGACGAGGAAGACGAGGGAGGAGGGAGGACGACGACGGCGACAACGACGACAACGACGGGGGAGGAGGGAGGACGGCGACGACGCGAACGACGAAGAGGGAGGGAGGACGCGACGCCGACGACGACAACGACGAGGGAGGAGGGAAAACGACAACGACGACGACGACGACGGCGACGAAAGAGGAGGGACGACGACGAGACGCCGACGACGGACGACGATGACGACGAGGGAGGAGGAATAACGACCACGGCGACAACGACGACGAAAACGACGACGACGCCAAAGAGGACGACGACGACGACGGGGAAAGACAAAAGAAGACGACGGCGACGACGACGACGGACGAGGGAGGACGGACGTCGGCGACGACGACGCCACGACGACGCAAAAGCGCGCGCGCACGCTTTTGTTGAAAATCCGTGTTGCGAAAACCTGTGGTTCTGTATGTTGTCTGGACACTCGTGTTGAACTTCTCTCCGGAATCGAAGGTTCTTGAAGGATTTGGGCATGCGCGCGCGACGACGCGCGCGCGCACTTCGTTCCATGCTTTGCAAAAGATTCTCGCGACGGCACGCGCGCAAAGGCATTCGAACGACTTTAAAATGCGCGCGCGAAGCCCGTGTTTTTTTTTGTTTCTCTTTTGCAAAACAATTTTCTGAAGAGTTCGCAAGAGCGCGCGCGTAAGTTTTTTGGGAAATCAATGTTGCGAAACCCTGTGTGTTTGCATGTGTTCTGGATTGTCGTATTTGAAATCATTCCAACACCGACGCTTCTTTGAAGGATTTCAGCATGCGCGCGCGACGACGCGCGCGTGTACACTTCGTCCCATTTGTTGCAAGGGGCGTTTGACATCTTATGATTTTTGGTAAACGAGTGCGCGCGCATGAAAATTGTTGCAGGGGATGGCAAGGGAAGGGGCGATACTGGCCTACTGGAATATATTTACCAACTCGCAGATGGGATGGACATTGGGTCAAGAGCCTATGCGTTTTACATCGTTCCCGGAGGGTCTTTTAAGTCCGGGTGGGAGGTCGGTAGAACCTATTTGTTTAGAGAGGAGCATCTGCGCGGCGCACTTGATTTCAATAAACGAACTGACACATCCCACGCTCCTGCAAACACTCCACCCACCCACCCGCAACTTGGTTTGCAAAACGCATGCGGGGACGATTGCACTGCATGATTGGCGTTGGCTGGTGCACCTCTGCGGCCGCGCCAATCCAAGCCCGCGCGCGGAACGGCCAGCTAGTTTGGCGCGGCCGACGCGGCCGCGGTGGTGCTGACCGCTGGGCACACCCCAGCGGGCACTTCAGTGCGAATCGGCGACTTGGGTGGGCGCGGTATCATGGCAACGTCGACAACAGTAGACACGATGATGCTAGTAGCGATGTTGGTGACGATGTTGACGACGACGAAAGCGGTGCCAGTGCGGGCGCCGATGCTGACACGTCGACGACGATGGCAGCATCCTCGCGTCGGTGATAAAAGTTTTTGGTAAGAGTTCGACATGCGCGCGCGGAGTGCGCGCGAGAGTGGCCCGCATGGTGTCATTTGAGACGGATCGTGCCCCCCAAGAACGCGCGCAAGGGCGTGCCAATGATGCCCCGCATACGGCGCGTGAGGCTCGTTTGACAAGAGTTGAATCAACATGTTGAAAAACGATGGCTTCGTCAAGAATTCGCAAGAGCGCGAACGCACGTTTTTTTGAAAACTGGTGTTGCGAAGCCATGTGTTTTTGTATGTTGGTTAGACACTCGGTTTGAAGTCGTTGCGAAACCGACGGTTTTTTACTGATTTCAGCACGCGCGCGTGCACTTCGTCCCGTTTTTACGCAAAAGGACTCTCGCGACGGCACGCGCGCAAAGGGGTTCGAAAGATTTCGGCATGCGCGCGGAAAGCCCGTTTGACAGCATTTGCTGCAAATGTTGATCAACGTATAGTTTTCTCAAGAACTCGCAAAAACGCGCGCACAAGTTTGTTTGAAAATCCGTGTTGCGAAACGTTGTGTTTTGTATATGTTGTTCGGGCAATCGGTTTTGGAATCTTGACCACAACAAGAGTGTTTGAAATATTCCGGCACGCGCGCGCGACGACGCTCGCGTGCGCACTTCGTGTCGCTGGTTGCAAGGGACTCTTGGCAACTTATGACCTTTGAACAACGAATGCGCGCGCATACTGTTTCCGCTGAGGATGGTGTGGGGGGGGGGGGGGGGGACGATACCATCTGCCCTGAGATGGCACGGGCTCATATTCAAAATGGGTGGTTGGGCAGAATCGTATGGAAATTGCCAGACGGATAAGGGAACCGATAATCCCAGGGGGGTAGGTAGAGTCTATTCTGTTGTAAGAATCGCAAACTCATCTTGCCGAACTCGAAGTTGTCAACTCCACTGCTGGCGCGCAATCATCCCACCCACCCACCCGCAACTTGGTTTGCAAAACCCATACGGAGGCGATTGCGATGAACGCTTGGCATTGGCTGGTGCATCTCTGCAGCCGCGCTAACCCGCGCATGCTCACGCGCGCAGCGGCCAGCTAGTTTGGCGCGACCGACGCGGCCGCGGTGGCGCTGACCGCTTGGCACTCCCCAGCGGGCACTTCAGTGCGAGTCGGCGACTTGAGCAGGGCTGAATTGATCGCCCCCGAAAAACGGAACGCCCGACCGCTTACTGGGAGAACCAGCTCAGGGGGGGAAATACCGAGTTGGAATCGGTGATGCATCGCCGATCGATCGGCAATAGGCCTCCGATGGCCAATCCGCACGCTCCTGGGCGGGACGGGCTGTCGGGCCCATATCGGCGATCAATGGTCGATTCGGGGACGATGTATCCAACCTTGAGCCTATACCAGACCTCCAGCGTCATGTTTTTCAATACGGGATCCCTGGATCGCTGGACAACTTCCTGGGGACCTCTTCTAGCTGGATAGTTGCTTGACGGTCCTGGGGCCCGGCGAGGGCCCCCAGAGATCGAAAACTAAGAACAAACACCGTGCAGTCTTTCAATACCAACGGCAGCAAACGAGGAAGAGAACAACTTCGCGCCTTCGTGTCGGACCTTGAATAGATTGGAATCCTGGGTACGCGATGTCCGACAACTCTGAAGAGGCCGGGAGGTCTGCTACGGATGGACCCCGAGAGCATCCGTCAAGAGGGCGGAACTATCAAAACTGCTGACAATCGGTCCCTAGACCCCTCCCGGGTCGAAACTCACCAGTTTTCCGAGCCGCGTCCAGCTGTGGCGACGAAGAGGCTGTTCTCCCCCCCGTTCTGCTTGCCGGAACCAATACTGGAACACCTCGATTTTAACGGCCGCTCCTAGAGGCCCCCTAGACAGCTATAATCGTGCCGCATTGCTGATTCATCGCCGAAGCATCGCGGATGCACTGGCGATACATCGGTAACGTCCACGATGCATCGGCGACGTCGGCGTGGAGAAAAGTCGGGCTCCACATCGAGCCGCATCGCCGATGCATCGGCAATGCTGCGCGGTCCTCCGACCCCACCCAGTTCGGACCCCGTCTGGGAGGCCTATAACGTAGAATAAGCCGAAGCCAGGACGAGGATAACATCGGGTGAGGATAACCGATCCAGCGGCTCTGGAGAAAGTCTCGGGAGCCGCGGCCTTCTCAGAGCGTCCTGAAGGCTCGGGAAACATTCCTCAACGCTCTGGAACGGATTGACCTTCGTCCTAGCCCACTCCGAAATAGCTCTTCCCCTCGGGTGGGTGGTGATGGGGGGTGAGCTGCATGGGGGTGAAGAAGAGTGCCCTAAATGAGTCATTTAGGGCCTCTTCTCCACGCACCATTCGGGTCACTCCCCAATTGGCACCCGCCCTGCCCCCCCCCCCCAGAAGGCCGCCTAATCTGCAGAGTTCGACGGCGTGGTCTGGCTGCTCGCCGCCCCGAGCGGCCGCGGGGAACCACCCCGCAGAGCGGTGCCCCGGGCAGAGCGAGGCCTGCTGCGCCTCGCGGCGCGGCGCCAGGGGGGCGGCGGCGTGGTGGTGGTAGATCCAGACCCCCTCGCGTCGTGCAACCTGCTTGGCACGGGGACGGAAAGCCCATGTTCTTTCAGAGCGCGAGATGTCGCTGGCTTGCCCGTTCTTTCTCTCTGTCTCCCCGTCTGGAGGCTCTGTTGGGGCATCTTGTTGGCATATTGGGCGCCCTCTAGGGCTATCTCGAAGCAGCAGGAGGCCTCTTGAGGGGGAACCAAGGCGTGTTGGTATCTTGGGGAGGTGCTAGAGCGCGATAAAACACGAATGAATATTAGGATGATACTGTTGATGATGATGACGACGGCATATTGTCTCTTGGGAGCATATTGGGCGTCTCCCAAGCCCTCCTTGGGCCATCTTGTGGCTCTCTTAGGCCCGCCTGGGGCCCTTCCGGGCCGTCCTCAGGCTCTCTTGAGAGCCTCTCGGGCCGCCATGGCACAATCTCGGGGGGTTCTGGAGCTGTATCGGGCCGCTCTTGCCCGAAAAGGCGAGGAACTGGAAACCTTCGTAAACCTAAAGGCAACAATTGTTTATTCGTCCTTCAGCACTTCTGGGAGTCCTCTCGGGTGCCGCTTGGGGTGTCTTGGAAGCCACTTGAGCTGTGCTGAGGCCATCTTGGGCAATGTTGGATCGCTCTTGGGCCGTCTTCGGTCCCGTCTGGGCCTCTCTCACGCCGTCTTGGAGGTGCCTGAAGCTGGCGAGGAGCTTAACCGCTAACCCGTGAGAATAAACACTAGGGGATAATAAAGTTCGGGGTTCAGGGGGAGATAATCAAAGTAGCCCAACAGACCTCAGCATAATCTCGAAGTAAGAGATGATCAAGAGAAGCCAAGCCGAGCACGTTTTGAGACATCCTTGGCGTTTAATCTCCATAGAAATATCCTCAACAATGGCTTATCTCGCTGGATACATCCTGAACAAATCCCTTGTTTCGCTTGAGACATCCACAAACTATTGCTTATTTCGCTTGAGACACCGTCAAAGTATTGCTTATTTCGCTTGAGACATCCTCGAAATAACTGTGTTTATCGCTTGGAACATCCTCAAACAATTGCTGATTTCGCCTGAAACATCCTGAAACTATTGCGTATTTCGCTTGAGACATCCACAAATTATTGCTGATTTCGATTGAGACACCCTCAAACTATTGTTTATTTCGCTTGAGACATCCTCGAAATGATTGTGTTTTTCGCTTGAAACATCCTCAGACTATTGCTGATTTCGCCTGAAACATCCTGAAACTATTCCGTATTTTCGCTGGAGACATCCACAAACTATTGCTTATTTCCCTTGAAACACCCTCAAACTATTGCGTATTTCGCTTGAGACATCCACAAACTATTCCTTATTTCGCTTCAGACACCCTCAAACTATTGTTTATTTCGCTTGAAACATCCTCGAAATGATTGTGTGTTTCGCTTGAAGCATCCTCAAACTATTGCTGATTTCGCCTGAAAGATCTTGAAACTATTCCGTAATTGCTTGAGACGTCCACAAAGTATTGCTTATTTCGCTTGAGGCACCCTCAAACTATTGTTTATTTCGCTTGAGACACCCTCGAAACTATTGCGTAGTTCGCGTGAGACATCCTCATACTATTGCTTATTTCGCTTGAGACATCCTCAAACTATTGCTTATTTCGCTTGAAGCATCCTCGAACAAATTGCGTGCTTCGTTTGAGACACCCTCAAACTATTGCTTATTTCGCTGGAGACATCGTCAAACTATTGCTTGAGACATCCTCAAACTATTGCGTATTTCGCTCGAGACACCCTCAAACTATTGCATATTTCGCTTGAGACACCCTCGAATAAACTTGCTTATTTCGCTTGCTACATCCTCGAACTAATGGTGTTTCGCGTGAGACATCCTCAAACTATTGCTTATCTCGCTGGAGACATCCTCAAATTATTGCTTGAGACATCCTGAAACTCTCGCGTCTTTCGCTTGAGGTATCCTCAAACTATGGCTTATTTCGCTTGAGACATCCTGGAACTATTGCGTATTTCGATTGAGACATCCTCGAAATAATCATGTGTTTCGCTTGAGGCTTCCTCGAACATATGCTCTTTTCGCTTGGGTATTGTTTATAGTTCTCGAGGGCGCATGCTCGCGGTTAAAGCTTCATGCACGCGAGCTCGAAGTCCTTGGCTGCCCTCGACAAAAAGCCTTTGTGGCGCACTTGCTCGAAGTGCTCGCCCATACAGGCTCGGCAGCCTTTACTGCCATCCTTGAGCTGCAAGCATTCATTGCACTCCTTGGCTGCTTGCAGCGCTGCCTCGAGGTTGGCGTGCTTGGGCTCGGGCACGAACGGATCCTGGGCCTTGCCCTTGGCCGTGGCCTTGGCCTTGCCCTTGGGCTTGGCGTCGCTCGCGTTCTTCAGCTTCTCGATCCACTCGTTACCTCGGGCGCAGATGTCGCTGATGCTGCTTGGCGGCTGGCGGCCCTCGCCGCGGAGCTCGCGCAGGGCGCGCTCGAACCACCTCGCCACCCACAATCCGCAGGACCACCCGTCCACTTGGTATCTCGAGTTGCTCGGAAGGGTGCGCCCCACCTCAGGCCCAAAGAGCTTGCGCAGGATTCTCGTGGCCGCCTCCATGGCGGACTCGGACGGCACCTTGAGAGAGTCTCGGCACTCGATGGCCACGTCCTGGAATTCCCCCTCGGTCACCTTGAGGTACGTGTAGTGCATCGGGTTGTCGGACCAGACGCAGATGAGCAGAACCTTGGCGTTCTCGATC